TGTTCTCCCGCTGAAATGATCTCCTTGTAAAGAGCAAAGAGAATTTAGCCTTATCTCAAGCGGAAACAGGGTATAGCTGATTTGTTTCCCAATAATCATGTCTTGATTTTGGAACAGCGTGATGATACCATAAGGAGCATTATATGTTAATAACTTCCGTTAGTCCAAAGACATTTCAAAAGAAAAAAATATTAAAATTCACGTTAAGGTATATCCCCCGGGTTTAAACGGTTTGCAGTTCTGCGGAATATAATTTGATTTATTCCTTGTCTTAATTCTGGCATCCGCAGGGCGTAGATTATGGGGTTCACTATCGAGTTGGCCTGGTATAATGCCACCATTATAATTAGAAAGCGTGGCGACCAAAAATAGTTGTGGAGTAACTTAGGATGTATAATAGCAATCCCGGTCACTATCCCATTTGGAAACCACATAAATAGAGAGGCAAGGGTCGCAATGAACAAGATACTCGTCAACTTTCTTTCCCTTGCGGCCACTGCGCCATGGCGTGGTAAAGAACAACTTAAGAGCAAGTATAAAACAAAATCGCAAATCTTCGGCAAAGCTGAAAAGAATCAAATCCACTCGTCTTTTGCATATAGATAGCCTTTAGTAAGTATATGAATGCCATGCAGTTTTTTCCTTGAATTATCTGTTAAGTCCTGAGAAAAACGATTTAAGCCGTTTTCACTTAGGCACAATTTGGCGATCCCAAACACGTGCAAACAGGGGGGAAATTAGTCACGATTCATTCCACTGATTTATTCTTGTTTTTCTCGTTGCCATGTTCCCACCAATAACGTAGCTCCATTTTCTGCCTTAAAAGCACATAACCCACAATTCCTCTATTCGCTCCTACGAAGGGCTAACGCTCGAAACTTCAGCTTTTGTAATCGTTACGGTGGCCAATTTACCATTTCAACTTTGTTGATACATCCAAATTATTAAGAATATAATATTTGAGTTAAGGTTGTTATATTTACTTTGCTATATGCATCGGAGTCGTGTTAATTTTTATTATATCAATGTCTTGATGGTCATATGTACACAACAGGATTGAGTGATTTTATGTCTTTCTTCATGATTTTCAAAAAATTTTGAAAAATTCCAAATTCATTTCCGCAAGCTAAACTTTACATATTCAGAAATATCATCAACTTAAGTATTATCATTCGTATTCTTACGAAATTCTGAACAAAGGCACATGCTCGAAATTATCGTTGTTTTCCGACTACCGTTTCACGCAATACGGGTGAGCCATAAGCTTTTGACTTCTCTTGAATACTGGAATTAATCTAATCTTTATGAAATCACGGTGTTTAGACTATGTAAAGTTGTACAACAACTTGGAACCATGATAGCTTTTTCTAGCGCAGTTTTTTTTGATACGCGAGTCGAGTGAATCATCATCCTCTACTCTCTCATAGTTAGTGGAGGGGACTTAGAGTAGAATTTTTCTGCATTTCCAGTTTTAACCAAACGCATATACATGGATTCTACTTCTGACAAGTCCATATTTTCTTCATCCCAGGTAATCGTATATCTTCGTAGCTCTTCTCTTACGCTTTGAGGGTAGATTTTTCTTTCAATTATTTTATCTCGTGCTTTCATTGATAAAGCTTCGAAGTCTTCAGAAGTGAATTAGGCTTCTTGAGTCTGTTGATTGCCCCGCGCTTGTTCCTCCTTATGCTTTACTGTCTTGTGTCTTTTTAATCCAGCCTTAGTCTAGCATTTATTTTGGTACAACTCGCAAACAATTCCCTCCTCGTATTGAACCTAAAAAATCGAAAGACTTTCAGTAAAAAAATATGTTGTTGCACTGCGACCGATGCCGCTGCTAAGGGCATCAATAACTACAAAGTTTTTGGGCGAAAATAACGTTTTAAAGGCTTCTCAAAGACTTATAGAGTCAGCTGCTTCGACAAAGTGCTCTTATAATTCTTCCTCGTTTTCCAAAGTTTCCAATATGGCATCAAATTCGTTGCCCAAGAAAAATAAGTCGCTCATGTCCGCCATTTTATTTTGGTTCTGTGCAAGGTCATTGGTCACGTGATGTTCAATCGAAGCTCAGGGGACAGACAATAGGCTGACCCTTTGAAGTTTACCGCGTTTCCTAACCAGTCCCCTCTACTAACTATGAATCTCTCTGCTCGAAAACTGGTATCATCGATAGGTATTCTGATATCGCTTGCCAGTTGATCGATATAGATCATTCGAAGTTACTCAGCATAGCAGTGGCTAAAAGTTAGAATTTGAAGAAGACGAGCTTGCCTCTGCTACATTTACAATGGAGGGCCATTCTTGTTCTTCATGCTTAATTCTAATTCGAGCTGATTAGATGTGGTTACACGCGAAAAGTTTGCAGAGCTAGCACGAAAGACGCGTGAACTGCTCGAGGCGAAGCCGAGATCGTTCTATTCTTGTTAGCCGAAAAAAATCTCTAGAGCAAAGCTTTTTCAAATAAATGCTAAATTTGCTGCTTAGATAGCATGGAGGCGGCGAGAGTACAGTTTATCATAAAGGAGGGTAGATAGGTCATGAGAATTGAGAAAACTATTATTCTGGGGTAGCGTCGCGCGTTCGTTCTTAAAGGGGAACTGAAGCGTAAAACTGAACCATTTTTAAATTGCAGCTTATCATTTATAGCTTAACTATATGCGCATTTGATCATATGTAAATGGAATTTGCGCACTACAAATATTAAACTATTATTATTATTATTATCATTATTATTATTTATGCTGGAACGTTTTTTCCTGTCTATGGGCTCAACTTTGCCTTGGAAGAACAGTTTTATACCGTGTTTTGACCGACTGGCACCGCGGCTCAGAAAAATGATGTCAGCGGCTAATATTACGTTACTAATGGGGAAGAAAGATCAGAACCCTGGGATACTCTTCCTTAAAAACTCGCGTGTTGTAAGATTGCCGAGGATCTGTGACTTTCATTCAATTTATGGGGATTAAATTCCAAAATTGAATAATGAAACATGTTTCTTACAGAGAATGTTTGGCTTTAGACTGGGTTTGGACTTGCAGGGGATGTCATAAAGCAATCAGTGGATATCTTTGTGATGTTTATTTAGTCGTTCTTTAACTTCGCATACAGGGTTATATATGGTCGTCCACGTCCTATTCATCTTTAACCCAGTTATCACGTTTTAAATATTCAATACTTTCATACATGGAAGATATTTGCAAACCATGTCAGCTTAGTAGTCTGCGAGCGAGAAATCGATGGCGGAACTCGACACGGTTGTGCGCAATCCCGAGCTAAGTTTAGTTACTCATTATATCACACAATGAGCTCTCTCATTTGTGTTTGTACAGAAATGTGTTTCTGCATATGGTATGCTTATATACTTCTTAGGAAATGCAGTTTAAAGCTCTTCGGAATTAGTATTTATTTCATTTTGAAAGAGAGCTGGTGTTTTTAGGCTTTATTTAGCATCACCCGTGTGGACATTCCCATTGCTTGCCCAGAAATACCCCGAAAGGTATCGAATGTCTCATGTCTACTTGTCTGACCTAGTTTCTAGCCATCAGTAATTTATTTATGGTGTATTTCACTGCATTTGCATGTAGCGATGATTAAGTTAAATTCATAACGGAACACGGAATGAGCTATCAAATACCAAAATCTTCAAATGAAAATGGCGGGCAAAAATTTCATCGTCGCGAAAGATTCACGTGTTTTTTTGTTAACATTTGGCATTGTTACGAACGGGACCTCAAGTCCAAAATACCTGGAACACCCACGAAGTACAAGCTGAAGGAGGATGCCTTTTCAAAGATACTCCGCACGACCTGCCAAAAATCCACGGCTATCATCTCTATACCGCCTCAGTTAACAAGCGAAAACAGCGGTTTCATTACGCAAATTACGCTCGATTGACCAATTAAAGTATGAATTCTTGGGGACTCAAAATTACTATTCGCTACAGCTTCTCACTGTGTTGAGAGGAATTTCAGTTTTACATGTGTTTCAATATGGCATGGATCTGCATTCGAAAGGTATACAACTGCATTTTTTGCATGTTTCTCGCTTCTGTAAGCATAAAAACTCTTCACAACAAACACACTCGTCGACCGTAGCTTCACAGTGTCCTCTGAAAAGACATCGATCATTCAGTGTTTCCGATTTTCGTAATAATCGATCACAATTTCTGATTCCTCGATGTCTTTTTCCGAGTGAACTGGTTCTTCGTCTGGAAAATAAATCAGCTCTGACTGGAAGGGCTTTAAACCACTCGTTCTTGTGAAAGAACGTTCCCCTTTAAGAAGACAAACCATCGAAAGGGCGTCTTCTTAAGTGGACTTCCAAAGTCAAATGTAGCTTGATGGCCGGCAACAAGCGATGGCTTCCCTTCTTTCCAATTAAGTCTATTAATTCAAAAGCATGAAATTTTGACTCTAGAAACGATTATCTTGCTTTATTTTTCAATATATTTCCTCTCGTTTGATTGGCTCCTGCGGTTTATTTGAACTCGATTTCACTATAATCAATCTCTGAAAACACCAATCTATTCGTCTATTAAGATTATCTCGCTCCAATGCAAGAGAAATATCGATTGCAAATTGAAGCTATGACCGAAATCGTTCGAGTAGAAGAGCTAATGGGGCTAGCTTGATTGAGATATCTTCTTAAGCTTAACCGACTGTGAAAGGATGATCTTGATCCGAGAAAATTTAAAAGATCATGCACGCACTGTGGGAAAATCAAATAACCTGAAATTTTGAACTGCAAAATGCTCCAAAAAAATCTATTTCTTTTTTCTGTAGCCTTTTTATTCTCATACTTCTCAATACAAGTCTAGCTTTTATAAAAGTTTGTAGTGTAGTACTGGTTAGGCATTTAGAGGCTGTTCTGTTCAGACTACTAAAATATTTTGTTCAGAGTACTAAAATAACTTCAAGCGAAATGCACATGCTTTTATATACCATAATAGTAACGCAACAAAAAAATGTCCTCAGTAGGGTGGTCCCGTCATAAGTCCAGTCTCACTGGGGGGCGTGAGATCCTCCCGGTACGGGTCCGGACCCGAACATCCTCCCCACCTCTCCAATACTGTTGGAGACTTGACACTGATTTCTGTGTAACTTGTTTCTTTTTCGCCCATTTCTTGACCTTTCGAGGAACGACTCCCCACCGTAAGCACCGCTTTCACCTAATTCACCTCTTCCAAATTGAGTACTGCTTGCTTCCAGACGATGTAGCCTCTGTACAGGTCTCCTTAGAAGCCCTTTCTTTGTCTTCAAAACAACAGTACGAATCAAGCCGTCTTTTCCAGGAAGCAATCTTTCAACTCTTTCGATCAGGCACTTTCCTGTCATTCCGTCCTTTCTACTAGGGCGCCAGTAGGATCTGCGGTAAGGACGACGTCGGCGAAGATTCTGTGCCGGACACTCTTTTCCCTCTTCTCCTCCTTCATGATCACCATCTCGTTCTTCTTGTTCATCGCCTTCAGGGCGTTCCTCATCAGACCTGCGCCTATATCTGGGACGTCGTCTTCGGCGGGGTTGCCTCTTCTCCCTATCTTCTTCCTCCAGTTTAACCTCTCCGTTGGTACCGGAGTTGGGCCCGCCGCGGGAGCGGCGTGTCCCACGACAGAAATCTCGATAGTTGTGATAGTAGTTTCTTCGGCGGTCCGGAGCATATTTGCTTCCTTGCACAGGGCTTCCATCTGGTCGTGTCACGTTGGCTGCTTCTAGACCGTTCGCTCCTCATACAACATCAAACTCCACTGTCTCCCCATCTCCAACACTTCGCAAGTACTTCTTGGGATTGTTCTTCTTGATGACAGTCTGATGAACAATTATATCCTCCTTGTTGTCATCTCTGTTGATAAGGCCATAACCGTTCTTCACGTTAAACCACTTCACTGTACCGCTCACTTTACTGGCAACAACTTTCTTCTCAACCGGCTGTTTTTATTCGAATTGAGGCTCTTCAGTCGTGGTCATGTTGCTCATGTTACAGCCTCGTAAGGCTCCACTACTAGGTGGTGTTTCGACCCACAAAGGTCTTTTGATGTTCCGTCTGTTCCTCGATGGATGACGTTCTCTGTAAGCATTGGCTCTCTCTGGGTTTCTTCTAAGCTGTCCGGCTTTCGACACTCTCAAGTCTCTTGACTGTCTGGAGGTAGTTTGACTTCAATGACAGAGCATCGCTTTTCCATAACAGCGGTACTTCATAACGCTCACCATCAAACTTTAGTCCTTCGTTGAACTGTCTAACAGATTCTTCTTCCTCTATGGACATAGGTGGGTGGATTCCTTTTATCTACAATTCCAATAGATTCCAGCTCCAAAACTGCTTAAGACTGTCCGTGACTGGATCAATGCACACGGTAGACAGCATGGATTGAGTGTTCTTGGAAGGAAGACCCTCGATGGGTCCTCCTACAATCCATCCAGGTGTTGACTCTACTGCTGTGGGAGCATGAGTGGTTTCCACTTTCTTGCATTTTCCACTCATAAATGAAAAGTAAAAGTCTGCTCCTATCAAAATATCGACATTAACTGGTGGTCCACGAGGGTACGAGTCGGCAAGTATCAAGTTCTGCAGGTGGGAGTAATCTTCTAACCTGATTTCCACTGGTTCTAGTGGTGTGCAGATCTTGTTAATGGTGAGGGTCTCCATGCTAACTGGCGTTGAAATGTTCTCTTGAACAAAGGCGAGTGAAAACCTGACTTTCCTCATTCTCTTCGTTTGACTGGTTTCTCCCCCTAACATGGATACACTAGGGACCTCAGAAGGTCCATCAAGGGCAAATGATTCGGCAACCCTTTTGGTGATATAAGACCTTTGGCTTCCTGAGTCAAACAAACCCTTACAGGTGCTCTCTGGAAACCGTCTGAAACCAGCGTGGCTGCGCCAGTCTGTAGTAAGGTTTGTTGCATCTTGAAGTTGTACGAAGCCACAAATCCACTTAATTATAGTACGATGACGCCGGCCACATCCTTCAACTTTGCACTTGGGTTTGCGGCAGACTGAAGAATAGTGGAAAGTATTTGCAGGCTTTAAAAAGTTAAAACACTGCCGGCTCTCCCTTACTAACTGCCAACGTTTGTCAACTGACTTTAGCTCAAGCTCTGGACATTTAAGGGTTTCATGTCCCTGCTCCTTACACACATGGCAAGCTGCATAACTTCTCCGATTTGTCTCACTTGCTAGTAGTACTTGCTGTTCCATCCTCGTCCCATCCCCCACTTCCTCTGGCTGTCCCACCATTCTCACTAATCATACTAGCATTCCTTTTTCCGGCCTCCTTGGAAATCACTTGTTTATTCAGGAACTTGAAGAAAAGTTCAAGATCAGCACTTTCTTCCTTTGTGCCAGTTAGTTCTAATTCCCATTTCTCGGATAACTCAGGTGGAAGTTTGGTTTCCAATATTGGAAGGAGGATACAAGAATGGGTCGTTGGCTTTTCGCCTAGGGCCTCCAGTGCTTTAACTCTTCTTCAGCGTGTCATGGAGGTCTCACAAAAACTCTACCCCTTCATTTGGCCTTGGTAACTGGATAATTGACTTGACTAGATATGAAATAATTATTATTTTCCTACCAAAGCGATGTTTCAGAGCATCAACAGCATGCTGATAATTAGCACTAGTGACTTCAAATCCCTCGATTGTGTGATAAGCAATCCCTTCCAATACCATGCGCAGGTAGGTGAACTTTTGAACAGCAGGCACATTGTCATTATCATGAATAGCAACCTCGAATTGGTCCCAAAAATTTTGAAATTTTAAAACATCTCCATCAAACTTGGGTAACTCAAGTTTTGGTAATTTCAGATGTAACTGTTTGTGTTCCGCTGAACTCGAAGTAGTTTGTTCGTCTGCTTTGGAAATTGCTTGTTTAGATATATACTCTTGGGCTATGTCTAAAGCATTATCAATTGCTCGTTGATAGTCAATCCACTTTTGAGCTTCTTCAGCAACTTCATCATCAGAAATAAGAGCAATAATTTCCTCTCTTACCTCAGTGCAACTCTCCATGTAACCATTCAACTATTGAACACGATTTTCCATTCTTATGACGTTGCTGCTGGGACGTTTGCTTGTCTCAAGTTTTACTTTTATCACAGCATTAATGTCCATCTTAAGGATCATTCCTTACCTTCTTAACAACTAAAACTTACTTAATTGATGATTGGCAGACTGTGACGACGAAAGTTGACCAGTTGATGCTGCAGGCACGTTGTCAGCTGGGACTACAGTTGGCTGTAAGATGCTGGGACTGGTTGAACCACCCTAGCTTTGCACTTATTGTTCTGTTTTAGAAATGTCAGCCAGATTATTAGCTATTAATTGGCGCAAAAAAACGTAGTCCTATTCGTAAAACAGAGATTCCGGATTGCGGAAAATTTTCGAAGTACTCGAAGCGCTCTCTGCTCGCCATCTGTATTTTTCTAAATTGCTCGCTGCTTGCAAGAAAAATTTGACAACTGCTCGTGGTCGAAAAAATAAACACACTGCTCGCATACTCGTAAATGCTCACAAAGACCATTCAATACCCCTTTATTTTTTCATTATTGACTAATCAGAATGTCTGGTTTGTTACTTTCTTTGCACTGAATTAACCCTCTTCTGCACTGAGTTAACTCTCTTCTGTACTGATTTACCTGAAAACTGGTCAATTGTACGTCAATTGTACGTTCCTGCCCCCTGCCATCCCTAGTTTTTAACCGTTTTTTTGGTTGATCGTGTTTTAGATCATTATCTGTACCATCGGCGGTGCCTCGCATGGGTCCTCGTGTCCCGTTCGCTGTAGCCCTTTTGACCTTTCCTCCTTATCACTTTAAATCACTTTGTACATATATCCCATTTCTTATAGGTCGTCTAATTTGCTGTATGTAATATGTGTAATGGTCAATAAAGTTTTTAAAAACAAAATCTGCATTTATCTTAACCAATCAGAACTGAGCAATTTTATCATGTATATTATTAGGATAATAAATGTAGATTTTTCCGCGTGCTTTCAAATCCATTCATTTTGCTGCGCTCCTGGCGCCTTGATGGAGACTGAGCAGCACAGTGNTCTCAACCGGCTGTTTTTATTCGAATTGAGGCTCTTCAGTCGTGGTCATGTTGCTCATGTTACAGCCTCGTAAGGCTCCACTACTAGGTGGTGTTTCGACCCACAAAGGTCTTTTGATGTTCCGTCTGGTCCTCGATGGATGGCGTCCTCTGTAAGCATTGACTCTCTCTGGGTTTCTTCTAAGCTGTCCGATAAGACATTCGATACCTTTCGGGGTATTTCTGGGCAAGCAATGGGAATGTCCACACGGGTGATGCTAAATAAAATGACTAATAATGGATTGATTATTTGAAAATTAAACCCGCCAGTTGTTCAAATCAAAAGTCAATTTTCTTTTCAAAGCGAATACGGCTATCGGGTTAAATATTCAAAAACCAGTCCATTAATGCATCCTTGAAGCGACTGGCGGGTTTAATTTTTAAATAATCAATTCATTAATAGTCATTTTTAAACATGAACTGGTTTACTTCACTCAATGCAGAATCATGGCTATTTTATGACAACTTTTAATCTCCGTTGAAGGTTTCCCAATCGGTAGCCTCGTTCCCAGGGTCTCTCATCTTCCCGCCCCCTGGAGCAAGAGTAGAGAGACCCTGGTTTAGGCTGATTGCGTGTTTAGAGAGCAAAAAAATTCCTTAGGGACGACTCGTTTGTTTGCTCGATTTTTGCCTCATTTCGGGTGTCGTCTTCAAATCGACGCTATCGCGATCGTTGTTCAGGTCGCCATGTTTTAGAGCAGCCTTCAAGTCGTTATATCCCCGAGTAGGAATTATAACCTCAATTGAAAACCCAAACAAGTCCAGTCTTTAGAAGCGATATTTTCTGGCAGAGATGTTGTGGTCGTTTTACCGACGGGATACGGGATATCTTTCTTCACTCTTCTCGAAGAGTCTTCGAGAACTTAATTAGTCAGCGACCTGAACCTTCCATGTGATTTCGTCCACTTGTTATTGTTGTTCCGCTTTTCAACGCCGTTATTAAATATCAAATAAGAACAAGCACCTGTAATGTTTTGATAGTATTGTTTACTGGAAGTTGTGTTAGCGGAAGTTCTAGGACATTGTAAACATACAAAGAATCATGGATAGTTGTGAAGGCCATGCTTTCCGGTGTCATGGCGGCTAAATAAAGCGTAGTTTCTTTTATAGTTAATTCTGGTGTATTTTACGGCCATCCAGGTGACATCGTTACTGCACCACCAGCCGTAGGTTTATTTGTCATGAAAATGAACACTGGCACGTCAAATGTAAAAAAAGGAAAGCGAACAAGTACGCGCAATTGCGTGCACATATTTTTCCTCTTCTGAAGGAAATAGGTACTAGAAAAAGAGAGATCGGATAGACGAGCACAAAAAAAAAATGTGTGTACGAATTTTCCTGGTTATGGACGGTGTCTTCGCCAACATATCCGTCAGCGACTGAGTCAATCGAAGGTAGCTCATTCTGGAAAAAAATTTGTCACGTTTAGTACAAATACTCGCAACTCGGAAGCGGCAAAGAAGTATCTGGGACCTTCGAGACGTAACTAAAACAAATGAATAAAGGCTGATAGTTTCGAAAGAAACTGTTTAGGGCTGCTTTCGGTGAGGGTAACGAAATAATTTGGATATATCAACAAAGTTGAAATGGTAAATTACTCGTCCCCCACTTCCTCTAGCTGTCCCACCATTCTCACCAATCATACTAGCATTCCTTTTTCCGGCCTCCTTGGAAATCACTTGTTTATTCAGGAACTTGAAGAAAAGTTCAAGATCAACACTCTCTTCCTTTGTGTCAGTTAGTTCTAATTCCCATTTCTCGGATAACTCAGGTGGAAGTTTGGTTTCTAATATTGGAAGGAGGATACAAGAATGGGTCGTTGGCTTTTCGCCTAGGGCCTCCAGTGCTCTAATCCGATTCTTTAGCGTGTCATGGAGATCTCGCAAAAACTCTACCCCTTCGTTTGACCTTGGTAACTGGATAATTGACTTGACTAGAGATGAAATAATTATTCTTTTCCTACCAAAGCGATGTTTCAGAGCATCAACAGCATGCTGATAATTAGCACTAGTGACTTCAAATCCCTCGATTGTGTGATAAGCAATCCCTTCAAGTACTGAACGCAGGTAGGTGAATTTTTGAACAGAAGGCACATTGTCATTATCATGAATAGCAACCTCGAATTGGTCCCAAAAATTTTGAAATTTTAAAACATCTCCATCAAACTTGGGTAACTCAAGTTTTGGTAATTTCAGATGTAACTGTTTGTGTTCCGCTGAACTCGAAGTAGTTTGTTCGTCTGCTTTGGAAATTGCTTGTTTAGATATATACTCTTGGGCTATGTCTAAAGCATTATCAATTGCTCGTTGATAGTCAATCCACTTTTGAGCTTCTTCAGCAACTTCATCATCAGAAATAAGAGCAATAATTTCCTCTCTTACCTCAGTGCAACTCTCCATGTAACCATTCAACTATTGAACACGATTTTCCATTCTTATGACGTTGCTGCTGGGACGTTTGCTTGTCTCAAGTTTTACTTTTATCACAGCATTAATGTCCATCTTAAGGATCATTCCTTACCTTCTTAACAACTAAAACTTACTTAATTGATGATTGGCAGACTGTGACGACGAAAGTTGACCAGTTGATGCTGCAGGCACGTTGTCAGCTGGGACTACAGTTGGCTGTAAGATGCTGGGACTGGTTGAACCACCCTAGCTTTGCACTTATTGTTCTGTTTTAGAAATGTCAGCCAGATTATTAGCTATTAATTGGCGCAAAAAAACGTAGTCCTATTCGTAAAACAGAGATTCCGGATTGCGGAAAATTTTCGAAGTACTCGAAGCGCTCTCTGCTCGCCATCTGTATTTTTCTAAATTGCTCGCTGCTTGCAAGAAAAATTTGACAACTGCTCGTGGTCGAAAAAATAAACACACTGCTCGCATACTCGTAAATGCTCACAAAGACCATTCAATACCCCTTTATTTTTTCATTATTGACTAATCAGAATGTCTGGTTTGTTACTTTCTTTGCACTGAATTAACCCTCTTCTGCACTGAGTTAACTCTCTTCTGTACTGATTTACCTGAAAACTGGTCAATTGTACGTCAATTGTACGTTCCTGCCCCCTGCCATCCCTAGTTTTTAACCGTTTTTTTGGTTGATCGTGTTTTAGATCATTATCTGTACCATCGGCGGTGCCTCGCATGGGTCCTCGTGTCCCGTTCGCTGTAGCCCTTTTGACCTTTCCTCCTTATCACTTTAAATCACTTTGTACATATATCCCATTTCTTATAGGTCGTCTAATTTGCTGTATGTAATATGTGTAATGGTCAATAAAGTTTTTAAAAACAAAATCTGCATTTATCTTAACCAATCAGAACTGAGCAATTTTATCATGTATATTATTAGGATAATAAATGTAGATTTTTCCGCGTGCTTTCAAATCCATTCATTTTGCTGCGCTCCTGGCGCCTTGATGGAGACTGAGCAGCACAGTGGCGAATCCTCGAGTAGGTTCTCAATATTTTTCCTCTTGGTTCTCGTTCGAAAAAAGTAACTGCCGTTTTTCATGGGGAGTGATAAGTTACGGAGAAAAATTGAAGATGACTTTTACTTACTTAGACCCTCTGTCAACCAAGCAATATCCGAGAAGAATTCATGCATCCAAAGGCTTCCTTTTAAGGTTTGCTAAAGACGAATGTAACATTACAAGAAACCATCCTATCTTTTTAATAAACATGAATAGTTGACCTAGTTAGCTGTTTTACTCCAAGATCTGAAAGTTTGCTCCCCTTACTAATAATAAACCGTCATGGATTCGACGCTATACACAAACATATCATAGAGAAGTCCATCAGAGCGTCAACTTCCCATCTTTTTCAGCAATTACGTGGGAACTATTTTAAAATGAGGTTTTTCTCACGAAAGAACTGTTTGCTATGACGTCTGCGCGGAGCAAAACCGAAACTAGATTCAGTGGCTATGAGTCAGGATGTAATCATTAAAGTAATCTCTCGTGAACGACAATCCAGTCCTCAGTTTGCGTGAGAATAATTTAAAGTTCCACCTGACCAGGCTCTCCTGACGAAAGAAGGACGATCCTCCTACCAGTATACCGCCCCAGGTTAATAGTTTCCTCAGCTCTCATTACCAGTCTGCTTTACAGTCTATTAACATTGCAAGGAGATTTTGTATTTGTATCTCTAGAAAGTCAACGAGTTTAATATCGGCTCATTAATGTACAAGGCAACTCACGGATCGACTCTGAACAAAAGTGATTGTAAGCTGTTTTAAAAATTGCACTTTGTACAATTTCTCCAACTCCATAGTATGTACGTGCTCTATTCTTCAATTTTCAATATTTACCTATATCGTTAAGTAGTATCGAGCGCGCCGACTTTCACTCCCTCCAAGTTATAACCTTCCCTTACGAATATCAACTTTTCAGATACGAAAATTTGTTACCAAATGGAGTTAGGATTATTTTAATTTGGCTAACAAATACCGCTACAGCGTTAACAGGAGCCACATGCTGTGCCATTGTGTATTTTCCATCTTCTCTTTTTCTTCTCTTAATCATTTCTGTGTTCTACATTTCTATTTTTATCAAAGTCCACTTAAGAGCAAATCCGTGCAAAAATCAAACATTACGTGGCAAAGTTAAAAAAAAATAAAATTCGCTGTTCATTTGCATACAAGTAGCCTTTAGAAAGTATACAATTGCTGTGCAGTTTTTTCCTTGAAAAAGTTATTTGCTTCTGAAAAAACGAAAACGTTACGTTTTCAGTCCCGAGATCGCTTTGGCGACACCGAACAGGTTTAAAATTGGTCACTGAGTGCCTATGAAGTAAAAATTGTTTTTGCACAATTTTGCAGCTTATTATGTCCTTATTAAGGAATGACAAAAGAAATTTCAAGAAAAGAAATTTAAATCGGCTTTTTGGTGGCTCGAAGTCCCTAAATTAGACGTTATCGGTGTCTCCGGAAACTGGGAACGAGTTTGGCTCTGAGGACGTAGTTGGTGGTCCTGGCGCTTTGTTTAAGCTTTTGTTTGTCGTCTTCAGAACCACCAACTACGTCACTTCCTTTGTAAGATGAGATTTGACCGCGCGCAAAATGGACCCATTTCAGATTGCAAAATCCAAACTTTGAGGTTCAAAAAATAATACAAGAAAGTTCTTTTGGTCGGTCAAAATCGCTTAGCTGTGTTCATCAAGACATAAGCAAACAAACAGGGCAAAAAAAATTTTTACTTCATAGGCACTTTAAG